AGAGAGAGAGAGAGAGAGAGAGAGAGAGAGAGAGAGAGAGAGAGAGAGATCTGTCCACCCCAGAGTCTGTTGCAGCAAAGCCAGAATTGGACACAAAGTACTAAATTGTAATCTATGTTCTCTGGGAGGGGGGTGGGATTGAAAATTTTAAGTGAAGTGGCTCTGCCTTCTGTTGCATTCTATTTACCAGTTAGTCATAGGAAAATCAAACTCATTTCAGGCTTCTTGAAGAGTAATCCAAAAGAAAGTGATTTACCATCTCTTACAAAGCTTGTGTATGGCCGGAATGCTGAGTATTGCAAACAAAAACAAAAGGCACAACTTTCTATGCCTCCCAGAAAGAAGAGAAAATTCTGGGTCCGTTGTTTCTCAGGTTGTCATTGCAAAATATCGTCATCTAGGAGGCTTGAGCAACACAATCCTATTTTCTCATGCTCTTGAGGCTAAAAACGTGTTTTAAGTGAGAAATAATTCAGTTTATGCTGAGAGCTCTTTCTGGTATAGATACTGTCACTTTCTGGTGGTCTCATGGCTATTCCTTGGTGTGGGAATGTGAAAGGTGAGAGATCTGTCATCACCTTCCTCCTCCCCTCCCTCCTCCTCCTCATCCACCCCTCCTGCTCCTCCTTTCACCCAGAAATCAATCTTTTATTGATTAAATTTCTCTTTGACAATTTCGCACATATGTAATGCATTCTGTACCCGAGCCCTCTTTCATTCTCCCCATTCCCATCATTCTCGCCCTGAAAGTCTCTTTCCAGATTCTTGTCTCTGTGCTCTGTTTTGTGACCCATTGTTTCTAGGCAAAGCTGGAGGGCTCACTGTTGCATACACAACTGATCAGAATGATTGTTCCTCAGTAACTAATGGCTCAGCAGGAAGAGGTGGGGCCCGGTGAGATGCTCCTTGATCCCTGGCTGGCAACTGGTAGGCCCCGTTTCATGTGCATGCAGTGCAGGCAGCTTTTGGAGTTGGAAACTTTGTTTGCAATGCCTGTGTCCTGCTCTGAAGATACCTATATTAGCTGTTTTTAAACTGTTGTGGTTTGATACCATGACCAAGAAAAGAAAACGTTTAGAAAAGAAAACGTTTATCAGGGCTTGCAGTTCAGTGTTAGAGCCCATCACCATCCTGGTGGGGATCGCGAGACTGGAGGCGTGGCGCTGGAGCAGTACCTGAGAGCTTACATCCTGATCCACAGGTAGGAGGCAGAGAGAGTCAACTGGAAAATAGTGTGTGAGCTTCATGAAATCTCACAGCCCACCCCTAGTCCTCCAATAACACCACATCTTCTAATCTTTCCTCCAAACAGTTCCACGAACTGGGAACTGGACACTGAAGTACATGAACCTACAGGGCCATTCTTACCGAAACCACTATACCGGGATGTGTCCTCCTCCCTGTCTTCCTGTGTTGTGGATATCGCTCTATATAAATAAAACACTGATGGCCAGTGACCAGACAGGAAGTATAGGCGGGACAAGGAGAGAGGAGAATTGAGGAAACAGGAAGAAGGAGAGGGAGACACTGCAGCCACTGCCAGGACAAGCAACATGTAAAGACGCCGGTAAGCCATGAGCCATGTGGCAAAATATAGATTTATGGAAATGGGTTAATTTAAGCTATCAGAACAGTTAGCAAGAAGCCTGCCATGGCCATACAGTTTATAAGTAATATAAGCGTCTGAGTGATTATTTTATACTTGGATTGTGGGACTGTGGGGCTTGGTGGAACCTGGAGAGAAGCTCTCCAGCAACAAATGGTGCCCAATGGCTCTAGTTTCCTCCTTAAACCTGAGAATATTTAATAACCAATTCTAAACAGAGCCAAAACCAGGTTCCTGCTTCATGTCTCATATGGGCAGCTAGACACCGCAAAATTCGGGTTTGAACTACTGGTGGGTTCCTGGCGTGTGCATTTGATCAGCAGTATGGTGGTAATGAGGTGTCTGCCAGCGGCACATTATGCTGTGTGGTAGATTTAGTCTTTACTAGTATTAAAAAAAAAGGTTTCTGGGCTACACGCTGCTTTGATAAAAGCATAGATCCCCTATTTCTGAGACTTGATGGCTCACAGAACTGGCAGAAAATGTACCACCGCCATGTTGGATTAATAATTAGTCATCTGTGATAATCATATTTATAGCCATGTTAGTTAAGTCTTCTAGGTATACATAGATATATTTCAGATCGATAGGTAGTCTTTAAACACTTCAAAGACCTACAGAATATGGCATTTAAAACGTTTTAAAAATTTAGACATTCTGGACAGTGAGACATGTCTGCTCCTGACAGCACTGGATTTACTTCGGAGAGGAGGATGGGCATCGAAGACACTCCATATGGAGTTTATCTTCACCTTGGCAATGATAGCCATTTGGGCAAGAAACTGTTCTTGCCTGGACTGCTTGATCAACTGGACATACAAGACCCATGAAAGGATGACCACTGAACTTTGCTTGACAAGATGGTCCTTCAGGTTCCTGCTTCACAGAGAAAACTGCCAGACATTCTACTGGACACTAAAGACAGATGCCCCAACTTTACAAAGGAATATTAGGTGACTGTCCAGGCTGTCAGCTGTCTCTGTCTATCCTGTAAGACTCCCGAAAGTTACATACATTCTTTTCCCATTTCTCGGGTAATATTATATCCTTCTGAGGTCTTTGATGTGGTTAAAGACTAGATAGTTGTAATTTCCTCAGTTATGATAAAAGATAAGTTAGATATAAAACCTTAAACTCACAAATATAAGATAGATAGGACATCTTC